CGTCTTTCCTACGTCCAGTAAGACGCAAGCAAATACGCGCTCGCACTAGAGCATGATCTGAATCTAGACATGTGCTCCAGAATGAGCAACAGTCTTCTATCGAGCCCCTCCATCGGTGGCTGATAGCGATGTGATCTATTTGGGTCCAACGTTGGGACGAATTAGGGGGTCTCCATGTTAGAAGATGTTTTTCCTTATGCTTAAAGTTAGTATTTGCAAGGAACAGGCGGTTATCTGAGCATAGTTGCAACAGAAGGTCGCCATTATCTGTTCTTTGAGCCACGACACCATAAGATCCACCTAGGTGTCTTTCCCTATCGCTTAGTTTACCTACTTGAGCATTAAAGTCACCTCAAGTAGTTGTCCCTCGAGCATTACGGTCACGCTCTCAGGTCACTAAGACCACCTCTAATTCAGTTTGTTTTTCAGGTACCTCTAGAAGAACTCTTCCACGATATGGGCAACCGGGAAGTGATAATCGTCCTTATACCTATAACAGCGCTCAAGACCACTGTATTCATAATCAACTTCCCCTCTTCAATTTCGTGGAACTGCATATCCTGACGTTGCTTCACTGCATTGTGGATCATACCTTTAGGTCGAAGGCTCCGGGTGTGGCCCCCTAAAAAACCATCTGCTTCGGTCTGGGCGGCCGGACGGTATCCGAGCCTACACACAAATCAAGTGAGTTGTGTGATGTGTATGTATTCGGTGCCCCTTTGTACCAATATTTGTGTTCGAATAAATAATACGTCGAACAACGTCGGTGGGTTGTTGCAGTAACTTTTTTGAGATTTGATAGGCTGTATACTGCAATGAAGAACATATTGTCCGGTGTTTCTGACTTCAGTACCAACATGAAGCAGCTACTGGCGAAGTCTGGTGAGCGTGAACATCCACGAAAATTTGAGTGCGGACTGTCAGGTCAACAGTTCCTTTTATCATTTGAAGAGAAACTGAGGACGTTGGACGCTTTTCTTCAGCAGGAAGACATAAAGGACAGATTTATAAGTCAACAAAATAAATTTGATCATTTGTGTGTATTATAGATGTGCATAATGACGCGATTAACGGGTGATAATCCTAAAACGTCAATGCGATATATTTTGTCGTACATCATGACACCTGAAATTGCCAGTCATTTCACGCTACTTGGCTCTTCATCGAAAAGAGCACTTTAGAAGTGCAGGTTTTAGGCTGCATACGAAGTAAGATATTTTTCAACTCTACGTGCGTTAGCTGATCGTTTCCTGTCATCAACTGTCAACGGAAAAGACCTTGCGAAACTGTACGACATCGCGACGCAAGGTTATTTTCATTACATGAGAGACATATTACAAAAGCGCCATCGGAGATAACAAGAACATTTATGTACTCATTTAAAATGATAACTATTCTCTACCATTCTATAGGTATAGTTAACGAACATAAGCGTAAGTGAAGCTTCACGTAGCTAGTTGTGTAAAAAAATGTCATATAAATGTCGCCGTAACGTTTTTTGTTCCTTACATTTCACAATATTATTTCGATTCTCAACAGTCGAACAGGCGTTACGATAAGAAATAACCAGTGGATATTTATAATGTTCAACTTCTTTCCAATAAACATTTTTAAACATGCGTTTACTTCCTAACTTGCATGGGAAACTCTTTGACTAAGTGTTGAGAAAGCCTGTTTGATTTTAAATGCACTTGCAGGTGAGACTCGAATTTAAGGACGACGATGAACGAATCTTATGTGACCTTGATAAATATTAGCAGGTCAGCTAACAGTAAGTACAGAATAAAAATATATTATACAAAAACAAAGAAATAAAGTGGACACACTCCTTATACATGGTTCAAAAACTTGTCAAGGTTAGGAAGGGGTTCAGAGGTTATAAAGTCGTAATGCATGTAGTCGAGGAAATCATAGGACTTTCTCTACGTATGGATATCTATACAGCTACAGAATAGTCGGCCTCTGGAGCCATGACAATGTCTCAAAAACTCCTTCAGCCTCGACCACATAGCTCCAATATTGTTTGTGTGCACTCCGGTTGTTGAGTACAGAAAATGCCACTTGTGGATAACGACACGATGCACATAACCAAGCCTATGTAGGGATCTGTACGCTCTCCAGACATTCGTATAAATAGTAGTACCTGGTTGTAGACAGTGTTACTGGTGCTTTTACTATACAGTTCGCAATAATTGTCATGATTTGCCTTAGTTAGGAATTATATATGAGGTTTTCATCATGAACTGACATCTGCTATGATGCCAGAAACCTATTTAGGCGAATGGACGAAGAGCTTTCGCGCCAAAATCCGAGATCTGTTAGCTTATACCTGATTGATTCATCCACAAATTATAGTCTCCCTATTTTATTTGTTATAGCCGCTTAATTATCACGTTATGTACAAAATACCCTGAGAACCGACCGTTACAGCGTCATGTACTGACATTGGCGCCGCGACCTTGAAATCTCACAGACACTTCCGATTGACTCGTCCATACATTAGAGTCTTGCCATATATTTAACAATTACAAGTAAAATAAGTAACGATTGATGATCTTGTATCTGCCAACTAGTCGTAACGCTGTACAATATTACGTCGATTGCAGCTTTCATGAGTTGTGTTACGTAAATGAAGGAGAACACAGGAGACGTTCTGGGTTATATCAAATGTGTTTTAAAAGTGAAAGCAAAATAAAATAAATCGATGTGTTTAGGCGAAAGTTATATAATTCAGCGATGTCTGAAAAAGAACGATTTAAAAGGCGAAAATCCGCATTATTTCCCCCGGACAGGCGAAAAAGCATACATTTTGTCGCGTTTCCCCGTTATTTTTCGTTTGATCGCCTTTATTTCCTTTTTATTGGCTAATTGAACGCAAGTCTTACCTCCTATAACATAACAAACGTGTTAAACATCCTGCAAAAACCTTTGAACGTTACTGTAATTCAGGATTCAGTTGACAAAAATTCCTAATCACAATGACAGTGGAGTTGCTTAACTTTGGTGCCAACCCCTTGAGGTTGTTTGTGTTGTAGTTAAGTTTTCAGATTTGTTTATTTTTACACAACTAGGAATTTTTACTCATATTCTCAATTGTGATAGGCGAATCCACGGGGCCCGATGAACTGCATCTTAGGATACTAAAGGAATTAGCTTACTTCGTTGCTTTAATCTTTCCGTAACTCAGGGTCGTTTATCAAAAGGCTGAAAGAACGCCATGGCAAGTCCTGTCTTCAAAACAGATACGAAACACAAACCTAAGAGTTACCGACTCGTTAGTCTATCTAGGGTGGTTGTCAAAATTATAGAAACTTTTATTCAGAAGGAGCTTTTTAGGTATCTCCATGAGAACCAGATCCTTTCGGAAAAATAGAAAGATTTCAGAGTATGTTGTTCCTGTCTCAGTAACTTGTTAGTGGCTCGTGGTAGCTGGTGCGCTCTTAAGGATCTAAAGTTACCTGTAAACGAAGACCATGTTGACTTCAGCTAAGCTTTTTACGAAGTTCATAACAACCAGCCGTTATATAAACTAAGAAATTTCAGAGTTGTCGGCAATCTATTAATGTGGATACAAGAATTCATAGTCGGGCTCCAACAAAAAGTACGGGTGAACTTCAGGTTATCTAGCTTGAAAACTGTGCTTACCGGGCTGCCTCAGGGTAAAGCTTTGGGGCCAGTGTTATCCCTGTTATATGTAAATGACCTTCCACTTCTCCTATCACCATTGATCTTGCCATATGCTGACGATACCAAGATATTGAGAGCGATAGAATGTGAAGATGGTAGCTTAGAACTTCAAAATGATCTGGAGAAGTTATTCGAATGTTCTCAAACTTAGCGGTTGCCGATTAATACTTTCAAGTGTATTGTGATATATATTAGTTACGAAAGTACAGATACATACACGGTGATAACATTGAGCTATCAGTTGTCCAGATACACAGTGACGCAATAACCGTCGTTAGCCAATACTTAAAAACTACTGCACATTGTCGTGCAACAGCCATCAAAGGTTTTAGAACCCTATGGTCAATACGTAAAGCCTATGGCCATGTCGATGCTAAAACCTTTTTGACATTGTGCACAACTTTCGTTCATCTTAAACTTCAGTACTGAATACAAGTGGCTAGTCTCTGCCAAAAAAGACAGACTTTTTGTAAAACGTTCAGAGAACAGCAACTAAACTAATTCCCAAAATAGTGAAGCTCGATTGGCCAAACTAAGCTTATTCACGTTGTCATATAGAATAAATAGAGGTGACTTGGTTACAGTTTAAAAACAACCTAGTGATGAATTTGCACCCGGTACGCCCCTATTTATTGTCTTCGAAAACAGAAAAACTTCGAAGACACTCCTAAAAAGTTCACAATCGTAGTGAAGATGCCGCCGGTAATCGAAGATTGACAACGCTTTAAGCAGTAACACCTAATATGAATCGTACTGGTCAAGTGAAATCAAAAGACAGAAGCGAGGGGGTTCGAAGATATATTTGATAGGCTATCAATATATCGAGGATCGTCTGATCTAATCTGGGTAACGATTGCACGGGTTGTTTAGCACATCGTTCCCACTTGTGATCTGGTGCGGATAGATGACGGAGCACCTTCAGCTAGGTGAGTCCATTAAAACCAATGTGTTCAGCATCCAATGTCGAAAAGATACAGAGCTATTTATTTTGGGGATTTATTTACCGATATAGTAGAACAAATTACTTGGTTGAAGCTCCATCTGTCGACTCTTTCAAAAGAAAGTTGAATCAACTGAGAGACCATCATTTTCAAGACTAACACAGGCCAACAAACCTTCTGTCCTTTCAAAACCGAAACTGAAGATATCAGGTTTTAGACGAATTTCGGAGCTATCAAAAAATATAAGAACATCAACAAGAGTACGGGTTCTACTCCATAAAGAGACGATAAAAATTCGTGAGATATATAATGATTTTTCGTGCATATGTTTTAACACCAGCATCTTTAAGTCTGAGAAGTAACTAGTACAAGGTCGTGGCGCACATATCAAAATAGCAAGCAGAACTTGGGTCTGGCTGTTTTCTCCTTTACATCATACGAGTTAATAAATTTGGTTACTTCGAACTATGAGCATTATTTGAGATTCAGATAAATTAATTGTCCAACAATAGAGAATAAGCTGTACAAGATGGAGATGTAAATGTAGTTTAGAATTACATTTTAACAGGCTTTTATAAGTTCATGTACAGATAATTCTAGGATATTTTGAGGTAATCTTCACCATGTGGTCTAACGAAATTCTACTATGTTCAGGAAGAGAAGATGTGTTGGCTGAACTCATTAGATCATGATTACGATTAATCGTAAAATTAAGATTAAGTAAATTGGTAGAAAAACATTGGTTGTCAAGACAGGTGAAGGCGAACCGCTGACTTCTAATGTTCAATTTCAAGCTTCGCAGTTGGTTTGGCTTTACTGAACCTCAATACCGTAGATGAAGGCTGTTTGTTGATTTTTTTGGAGTGGATTCACTGCACTCACCTAATATCTGTTCTAATTTGTTTTCATGGTATTGAACTAAGAGAAGTTATTGTCATTACATGGTGAAAAATACCTCGAAATGTCCTAAAATTATCTGTACATGAACTTATAAAAGCCTGTTAAAATGTAATTCTAAACTACATTTACATCTCCATCTTGTACAGCTTATTCTCTATTGTTGGACAATTAATTTATCTGAATCTCAAATAATGCTCATAGTTCGAAGTATCCAAATTTATTAACTCGTGTGGTGTAAAGGGAAAACAGCAAGATCCAGTGAATCTATCACATTCTGTAACTTATATCGCTCTTGCTTTATTAGATTTTGTAAGACAAGCCGTCTAAGTGAAATAATGAAGTCAATAATTTTACTGAGAAGTCGTTCGTTGGTTTCATAATGAATTCTCCCGGTTCAAGGAACTTGTTGACTTATTTAAATAGCAGTGGGTTGTTGGGACTGTGATTTTGTCATATGATTAAATTAAAGGCATCCGGAGTTTGTGTTGGGGTTCAAATGCGATTTAAATATCTTTACTAACTCGACATTGTGTTGTCTGAAATTGAGAATTTGAAGTAGGAGGACTTAGAAGTAACTGGAGTTAGTAATGCGTACTAAGAATATTGTTTTTATAAAATACTTATGTACACCTATTATGTTTTGTAAGATTTGACTCGGTGGATAGTAGGAGGGAACTAATATCAATCTTTTTAAGCTCTAATAATCGTATTATTAAAAAACTGATTATAAGGGGCTTCGTCGTATTTAAATTTTAATGTGTAACTTTATTATTTCAAGTTTCAGTTATATCCAGATGTATTTCTTAATTGAAGGGAAGTAGTGTACATATATTCTCAGGACTTCAACTTTGGTTGCTTGATTTAACACGGCAGGTCCCCGATCACTTTTATCACTCGTAAGTAGGGAAGCCGAACCTAATCGAACATTGTTTATTAATGTTAGGCATATAGTTATAAATAAGGTAACTGTTCCGGTTAATTGAATAGGACTGAGGTAATTGGAAAGTTGTATATATGTTTTCCCACCTCGTCGTTCCATAGTAACTGTAGTGCATACGAGATAGTAAAAGCATCACGAGAATCAAACAAAAGCGTACAATCAGTTTCTTTGTCCAAATTGTACTGGAGGAGAGGGTGCTATGTATTTAATGTGACTCAGGGTTTAGAACCAAAAACATGTACAAGATCACTTAGTTTCTATAAAGCTGTCATTCCATGATTAGGTTTAATATTAAAGCCGACAATTTCCTTAAATGATCTATCTTTGTAAGGCTTCACTGATTTTGAGATGGTGGAGAATATTTGTAGCTCAGGTGTGTAGCTCAGGAAGTGACTTCTATCTGAAGTTTGTGCTGATGATGTCGTTCAGAAGAACGATGAAAGCTCCTCGACCAAACCATCCAGCTCAGAGAACAAAACACCACCAAAAAGCTTCACTGATTGGATAGTATTATTTTTCCTTACACATCGACTAAAAGTCAATGTCATATGTAGCTATTAATCTATCTTTGTTACATTTATATTTGTTACAATAATTGCCACTTGTTTTTGTATCCTTTGATCGATTTTTTTGCTTCAGTCCATTCACCTCCCCCCTCTTCCATCTCTCCGTGAAATCATCCATGTTTATGGTATTCGAGCTCAGAAACAGTTATCTCAAAACTTTCTTTTACAATCATCATCTATAAATGGACTAGTCAAGTGTGCAGGGAACCTTCGTGGTGCTTATGTTCTTGAAGTTGGTCCAGGTCCTGGCGGGATTACTCGGGCGATTCTTCAGAAAGCTCCACGTTATGTTGCCGTCGTGGAACTAGATAGAAGATTTATTCCTGGTCTTCAGGAATTACGGCTTGCTGCTTTCGAAATGGGGATCCAAATGGATATATACAGACAGGTATCTTTATTGCTCGATATATGCAGGTGATTGTCATTATTCTAGTTTTTAGTTATTATGCTTCCAAACTTTCTTCACTTATTCTTACTTCGTTCTACATGTTTAACAATAGATATCCAACTGATACCTCCTACACCAACGTATATGTACCACTTCAATACATAGATGTTTTCACTAAATAATGCATTAGGCAAAACGGAACGAAAATCCAATGAAGACGCATTATTAGGAAGTAAACTAATTGGTTGGCGTATAAATCAAGATAATGAAGATTTTAAAGTACATCCTAATGCCTACATTAGGGAAAAAACCATTGGGTTTGCCTTTGAGGTTTTGGTTGTGAATCACGTTTGATAATGTCTTAAGGCACTAAGATGCATAATCCCTGTGACCATTAATAAGATCACGAGAGACCCAAATATGCCAATTCAATACAACACTGTCAGCACCCGACATCATCTTTCTGACGATCAAATACCTCCCTTACCTCTTAATAGTTCTTCCATTCCTTTGGCTAACCTGTCTCGCATATCTTTATCACGATATATTATCCCTGATCTCCGAGACCATGCTTCGAACATTGTTTTAAATAGGAAAATAGGCTTATTTAGCCAGGACTCTAGAATCTCGCGCTATCGATATTTACTACATCTCTTAAACGCGCATACAGGATCCAAGTAGTCATTCACTTGACCTGACCTTGTTAATATAAAGAGCCGGCACGATTTACTCTTGGAGTACATGGAGACTCCACTGATACTTCCCGTGGCCTCTTTGGTACATGTATATCACTAAGTTTTGAAGTAGAATAGGGTTTGTTAGACTGAATTCCAATAGACTCGCTTTTGCGCTGTTCGATTCAACAGAACAGTAGAAACTCGAAAATATAGGGACACATGCTGTTGCCTTTTCGTTGTCTCTGTCTACGCTCCCGTTGATTGCAACTCGGACGAAGTTAGAGATGAGTTTTATAGGAAGTTATCGAACCTCCTAAAAGCCGAACGCTCTGATGTAGTAATAATGAAAGACGATTTTAATGCTCATGTAGGCAAACTAAACCAAATTTAAATGGACCTAGGTAGATCTTACAGTGTTGCGGCTCAGAGAACAGATAATGACGATCGTCTGTCACAACCATGCTCAGATAATCTATTTCTGGTAAACACTAACTTTTGACGTAAGGAGAAACATCGTTTGTTGTGGTGACCCCCAAAATCGACTCGTCGATGGACTCAAATAGATCACATTGCCATTGGTGATCGTTGAAGGGGTTCGATAGATGACTATCGCTCATTGTGGAGCACATGTTAAGACTCGCACCATTCTCTAGTTCAAGGACGTATTTGTTTGAATCTTACTGGACGTAAAAGATCCACACCAAGTAAACCCTTTAAAGTTCAACTTAATAATGAAAAAGTTAAAAATATATTTCAGGAACAACTATTGGAGTTAATCAGCGGTGAAAGCGATATCCATCCTAAGGTAGCTTGTCATGGTATCCAAGAAGCTGTGGAAACAGCAGTGATATCTGCCAGTAACTTAAATCAAAAGGTCAAGGGAAATAGGTGGATTTCAACGCCGTCTATAAAACTGATAAATGTTCACATCAGGGAGCAGTTCAACCAGCTTTCAACCACACTTCAATTACCCATTATTTCCAAGCAACTTGAATGCCAAACTGTGAGTCTTGCGAATCTTGGTGGGGCTGGAAAGGCTATAAGCAATCTAGAACGAGGCAGAGCACCAGGGCCTGATGGACTAACCCCTGAAAATTTTAAGTATGGTGGTTCAGCTTTGTCAGTTAGATTAGCTGAAATCTTGGCTAAAATTTCAAAACGAGATGTAATCCCATCTGACTGGTCTCAATCACCGATCGTCCCAGTCTATAAGAAAGAAGAAAAATTCACAAAGGAATTGGTTTCACCAAGTGTATTTGAAATATTAGCCTTAATAATACTTAGACGTCCAACTTCAGCTCATGAGGACCAAGTTCGAGAAGATCATGCTAGTTTTAGACCTGGATGTGGATGTATAGACCAAAAATCACACCCCTGTAGGTTCTGGAACATAGACATACTTTACGACATCCGACTACAATTGTATTCTTTAACCTGAAGGCGGTGTCTAACTCCGTTTATTGTGAGGTTCTGTGGCAGTGTTTGTCAATGAAAGGCCTACCAAAGAAATACGTTAACGTTGTATAGGCTCTCTGCTGGAACACCATTGGCGAAATCTCCGTCCCAACCAAAGGACGAGTTTACTGCACACCAGTTCGCTCCGTTTCACTTTGTGAATGTGAAATACGGCCACTAAGAACAGAGGACATCCATAAGTTACTGGTATTCGGTCATAGGTATCTTGGAAGCATTGCTCGTGTATTTTGGGATCACGAAGTCAGCAATGATTGGGTTAGGAACAGAGTACTAGGTAAGGATAGGAAATCGACTGATGAGGTAGTAAATCTTCATCAACTGAGGTATTTGGACATCTGCTACGTATCTTAACGTGCTATGTTTTCTGTTGCAGGAGTAAGCTGGAAGAAAGCTACGGGTGGCCAAACCAAAACATAGCGTCAGTTCATGAAGTCGCTGACAATCTGACTTGGCCTTGTTATTAGGTATAAACTACCTGGTTAGGGTCTGCGTGTCTATCATAACCAATGGTTAGAGACTTTGAATGACATTGCTCGAGATCGTTTGCAATGGCGCAGGTATATCCGTTCTTTGTCTTCCTCCATGTTCTGAAATTCTAAAGTCTCTCGTAACTCTTTTTTGTCTTTATTTCACTAATATATATTCCATCGATTGGCATATTCGATACCTAATCTTTTCTACTACAACTGATTCTGTTACTACTACTATTCTGGGATTCGGTCTGACGATTTCATCTGTCTGTGCTAGTGGGGTATCGTAACTTGAATTGACGTACGTACGTACCAAATTTTTTCGAGTGGTCCACTATTTTTAGTTTCTCTGAGTCCAACACCCTGATTGTCCATTATAGGTAAAGTGAGTAACCCACTCGTTTACCATGGGCTATTACAATACCATTCAATCGGATACCACACAAGCGAGTGTCGATTGGAACACACTTTAAAGTGCATTCATTGCTTGAAATTATGATGTTGCATTTAGATGTGCTCAATATATAAATATTTCTGTAGAATCTCAAGTATGCGGGGTAAATTGTTTGCGTTAAGTTGGTATGCCGAAGGAATATCCAAAACCTTACCCCCTGTGTTTAATCAGATCTAGACGATTCATGCTATCAAGTTCAACATAATTGTTCCTTTGGTTGATATTCTAGTGAACAACAAGTACGAATTCGTATATGCGCACCTTCAACATATTGGACAGTTTGAACCCGTGGTTAAATTCATCAACATTCATTACTGATTACAAACACAGCTTTACCAACATTTCTATCGGGATATCCAAGTACAGTACAGCAAGGTTGCTTTTTCCATCTAAGTCCACTGTACATGGAAAAGACTACAGCGATCAACAAACTATCAACAATGTTATGCGGCAGATAGAAATTTTAATTTGCAGGCTCGTTATTCGGGCACATTAGCTTTCGTACTGCTAGCAGATGTCATAATGGCACTTGACAGTCTAACGGAGTCACTATTTTATGCAAAAAATGAAGAAGTCGAAGTTTTGAAAAATTATTTTGAGGACACTTGGATCGGGAGATTAACAAGATGCGTATGCCGCAACGACCCAGTGTTTTGAATTATACGACGAATCGTTTACAGTTCCGTTATAGGTCATGAAACGAACAGGACTGTCGAAGGTTAGCATAGAGGATTTAATAAACTCATTGACACTGCTCATCGAAACAAACGGGAATTCATTAATGCTGTAAAATGAGGAACACAAGTTAAGTGAATAGAAAATCGAACAACTCGTTGTCGGGACCCGGTAATAACATGTATGAATTAAGTACAGGGACATATCAATGCGTATTAAACAGGTCCTAAGAGATCATGTAAACAGATCAATTCTAGACTATTAACGCGAAATAGCACATAATCTGTTTTCGTATATCTGGACGTTAAACTGTGTCATTATAAAAACAAGAAAATGTAACATTTACATAATGTTTATGAATCTTTTGATTATCTTTCTTGATCTTCTGTACTTAGTCAGTTTTTGTATAAATGGCATTGAGTTGCTGTATTTTTAACTCGCCCTTATTGATATGTGCCTTTTTACTCCTACCCTTATAGGAGCAAACTGTCATAATAGTCTTAGATGATACAGTTCATAATCAGTCGCAATACCACACATGCATTCGTCTTCTTGTTGTTGGTTTTAAAAATTTTATCAATTCATTTGCTTCTAGATCTTACTTCATGTTTGTTTTCAATATCTTTCCATTTTCGTTTACTTTCTTTTTCCCTTATAAAGTGCAACTACGTAAACCTACACACCTTTATGGGATTCTCTATTTTCTAGAATATATAAAGTAACATAATAGTTTTTATCTTCAAATGTAGAAAGTCTATTGTGATCATAATTTCATGTTCTTTCAAATCGTAGAATTAAATGCTTGTTATTATTTTATCTAGACTTACCAGTTAATCAAATTTATGCCGTGAAACCAATCATTTACACCAATATTTTTTGTCCGAACTCATGCGACAAAATACTTTTATAAAGTGAATTTTATCGGTATAGTTGAATTCATTTATCACTGTATAATAGCGTATTTCTTTGCAATTTTCCTTATAACCAAAATTTTGAAGCATCTTAGAAGTATTCACGCATCCCGTTGATTGTGGTTCTTTTAACGAATTGAGTTGATTTCCAAACTTAATTTTTATACTTCACAAAATAAATAGCCTTTCAGTTTGTGTGAAAAATTAGTTTATCGGTATTATTACCATACCGAAATCTTCTTGAAATATTTATTAACAGTAATGTTCGAGGATTCTATCTCCTGAAAATATTCCAATTCATAGGTGGACGTTTTACAGTTACTTGTCTGTTATTTACCCCTATTTAGCATTCGCTCGTAAAATAACTAGTTTTTTTTAGAATTTGTATGGAAATCTAGTCTTCGAAATTATTCTACCGAAAGCTCTAGGATTGGAATATGATAATTTTACCTTTTCTGATGTGTACAGCTTTCTTAGCCGTAAATTATATATATATATATATATATATATATATATATATATATATATATATATATATATATATATATATATATATATATATATATATATAGGCGATGTTTACTTCTTCCTGCCAGTTAACTGAATAATTAAGGTCAATGGAGGTACATGTTTTACATTACTGTCTAACTAGGGTTAGTGTTTTTAGTTCTCGATGAACCAGTTAATGCTAGGATAATGCTTGTTTTGGACTGCTTAGCAAAAAAATATCATAATTTTTTGTTCAACATTTTATCTCTACCGTTTGATAATGTAATTATTTTCGAACTTTGTCTTGTATATATGATTTGCAGGATATTCTAAAATTTAATTGTGAAGGTATTTTTCCCATCAGTTCTATGACTGGTGCAGGAGCATGGGAGGAGTCACCTGAGGTGGCAAACTCAAATTTATTAGAATCTACATCAATAAATCGAAATGAAACTGCATTAGAAAAAATAAGTTCACCACGCTTGTGTGTGATTGGAAACTTACCATTCAATATTTCTACTCCTTTGATTTCTCAATGGCTTCATGATATTGCTGAGCGACGAGGAATTTGGCGATATGGACGAGTCCCTTTGACATTGACTTTTCAAAAAGAAGTTGCTGAACGACTTGCTGCGGATGTATGGGATGAACAGCGTTCCCGCTTATCTGTCATGTCACAAGCATACTGCGACGTAAGGATTTTATTTATATAAAGGTTTTCGTCTACTGTTTTTGTCCTAATCTTGTTCCGTCATTAGTTATATCCAAAGAAATTAAAGATATCTAATGCGTAATAATCCTAAAGCTGACAGATAAGTGTTTGATGATTATTGAGTGTCAGTATGAATTCATTTTTCACCTGTAATTTTTTTTTGATGTGTTGTGGAATTGTGTTCGGTTAACGACTAGATTGCGTGAGTGCTGCCTAGTGTGTATATAGTGATTTATCTGGACACTTGACTTTCAATTGGTTTGGTAACAAGTTTTAACCTTATTCCTTCATACTGAGATTTTGAACAATCAAGTGATGTCACTACTTATAACTCAGTAGGACTCAATAGTCTGAAATAAAAACATATAGAACGTTGTTTAGTCATATACTTCATTGTTTTGTGCAGTTCTATAGTTATAATTATTTGATTTACCGTTCGTAGTTTCTTATTTTCAGGACAGTTTTATTAATTATCCCCAAAGTAAGACTGGCCTTTTTTGTTTGATGGTTCAAATTTGCATTGTTTTCATGTATTATAATATGTTCATTTTTAATCTTTGAAATGTAATAGGTTAAATACATGAAGGATATTCCAGGTACTGCTTTTGTTCCTCCACCAAAAGTAGATGTTGGTGTTGTTCGTCTAATTCCTTTAAAACAACCGCTTATTCCTGTACCGTACCCGTATGTTGAAAAATTGGTACGTCAAGCATTTCACTTCAGGTAAGAATCACATATTTCCTTGTTATGTTACAGTTTATTGAAATTTGTTCTTCCGGAGTAATGGTGCATATATAGTAATCCAACTTTTCTGTACACGTTTACTAACTACAATGTCATATAATCTGTTGTTAAAGTGTTTACCGAAAGAAATTAAAACTCGGAGATAAATGATCGTTATGGCTATTCCCTGCGGTGCCGGTATTTATCAGCATTGATTTTCACTACTTTCAGCCACTATAATTTCTTTGATCAGAAGCAATAAATTGTAGTTTTTTCCGAACTTCTCACGGTTTCTTATTTGATTGATCTATTGTAACCCATTTACGAAGTATAACTATGCACAGCTGCGAATCATCATCTTCAAATAAACACTAAACTAACAATTTTTTCGATTACATTTATCTTTAACTCCAGCGCACCATTTCATAGACTGATCATTTCTCTACCTTTTCCATCCAGTCATAGCGTCACTAATGCACAATATAGTGGAAATGACGTATAGAGTACTGTGAGCAAAAGTTATTGTTCCTGTTGTTCTGTTTATAGTTACACCATAAAATAACTACTCGTTTTCTTGTCTGATCGTAATACGTACACTGTCCATCTTAATTACTTCGTAATATATATTTATTGAATGCAAGCTTAGTTTTTTAAGAAAAATAAAAGTAATTAGAATATCAAGTTTAACGTATAATTCTTGTTGTTGAGAAAGTTTCATAGGATGAATACTTCGAAAATTGTTGTCAATTACATTATGTATATCACTACTTAATAGAGTGAAATATGTATTTTCTAACCAACTTCACTCTAATAGTCAGAATGAGGATGAATACTAGTTAAGCCTATAATATAATATAATATAATATTATTATTATAGATTAGATAGTAATTTCAATTTCAAAACACTTATTTTCCATGTAGACAAAAGCAAATTGTTCGATGTCTTGAAACATTGTTCCCTTCTAATAGACCTGAACTGGTTATTCAGTTATTCAAAGAAGCCGGTGTGCAACCAGCCAAACAGTGTATACAGGTTAGTTTGGTAGTTCTTTTATTTCATGTAGTTTGTGTATACATGTCCTTGGGTCTTAAGTGGCTTATATTTGTCATCCCACACTATCAAAACCTATCTCGATTACGGCAAGAAGGATGCTCTCTAACCTCTGCTTCCTGAATGATCTACCAATTATTACCGGTTTATTTTCAATACCTTTTGTTCATAAAGTTGCCAGCGATGGTCATAATTATAATAATATATTCAGCAATCAATCCTCTTATTTTTGCTCAAACCTCTAGGCGGCCAGTCGATTTCTTTTTGTGGACTTTACTGACATTCAACTTTCACGAATTATATATATTCGATATCACTTACCACAGAAACGATTAATGAAAGTTCTGTGTTACTTTGATGATAGTATGTCAAGTTATGGAGCCTTGTAGTGAGTTTTCCTGAAACCAACATCAGTAATGAGCAGTTTCAGCCTAATTTCTTATGTTATGCCTAGTTCCTCTGAACTTTCACAATTGGTCCTCTTAGTGATAACTCCTCAAGCTATAATGATTTTTCTGGTGATGAATAATCGGTCATTTCAATATACACCACAATTTCGATTATGTATAGTCTATAGAAATGTAGTCTTGTGCATTCCTTGAGTAAGTTACTTGAGGGTCTAATGTGTATTTAGTTTTCAGAATATAAAATAATATTATTGTACTATCATGTTTCTATTTATGATTTGATAGTACGGATTTAACAACTATATCACGTTATCGTACTAGTCAGAGTTAGAGGGTTACGGAGAAGTTTCGATTCCAATGCATATAGCACATTATTCACTAAATTACCTATGGGTTAAAGGTTTTTAGTGTTTCTAGCAACTTGGAGCTATGGGTCATTGTTTTGGTGGAATGACTTTCAACTCTGAGGTTTCGATTTAAAAACATATTCCATCTCTACAGTAATTTATCATAAAGACACAAAAATCCTAACTGAGTTTATACAATATGGTGTTACACATGAATCATATCCTAAATAAATATTCTATTTTTATTTCCTCCAAACAATTAATTTACAGTTGACAATGTCAGAATTTCGAGATTTATGCTCTGTATATCATCGTATTTGTCAGATTGAACCTGATGTATTCGATTTTGATTATCAAGCCCGAACTAATTTGCCATTGTGGTATAGTCGTAAGAAAATTCAACGAGAAATGTTAGACAGTCCAACTGGTCTTACGGCCAATCGTGTTCGTCAAGAAATATATGGATTCAGTCAGTAATGGCTATACGCTTTTGTTATTATCATATTGTAATCGATTCTTTAATCAACAATTCATTTATATAACTTGTGAATAAATATACTTCCAATATTTTGAAGTGATTGAATATTTTTATGATGAGTCAATCATGCATACTTGATACGTAAATATGTGAATTGTTGTCTCTTGTTTATGAACTATTAATGAAGAATACTTTAAAGGAATTAAATTTATCAACTGTATATATGGCCAGTAAAAGCTTTCAGCAACGAACTTGTCGTTTATTGCTGTTGAGACATTGCTTTTCTCTTGAGTGTTTACTGAATCCACAGATTTGACAATGTATATGTAGATAGATGATTTATGTACTCAATGTTTTACTGTTTATTAACACATTTAAATTCCTTTTTATCTACATTTGAGATTTAGGTAACCGTGTAGTATTTGTAGTCTTCAAAACCTACCACACGGTCTGGTATTTCATCGTGTTATGAATTTCAGTTTCATAAAACATATTAGACTTAAAGAAAGTATTGATCAGTGTCCCAATCCTTCTGTATTAGTGTTGGACCATCCCATCTACCATTACCCATATTCAGTGATTATTTGGATCATGTCAAAGGAAACCTTTCGTATGTGCGAGTCAAAGGCATTTCTATATCTTTTATGAAGGTGACAATTAGTATGTTTCTCAAATTTTCTCATTAGATATTATCTAAATCATCACTGAGCACAACAGTGCGTAAAGTAGTTAGATGTAGTGTAAATCAGTTATATTTGAAACTTCTTATTTCACGTAATTGTCGTTACTTAGTTGCAAAAGTCAACTGGAAACAATTAGTTTATTATTAAACCACTGGTTTATCGCTTTTAAAGATTACAATCCGGATACTAGTCAAGTTTAAATAGAAAAATGATATCTGGTCACGCGAACTGTACTGAGTAGAACGGAGTTTCAACCTATCTAGTATTTGTAAAGCGAGCACTAACGAACAAGCCACCACTTCATTGCATTGATCGTCGTAGAAACTGATTATATTAACAGACCGTTCACTACCAGTCAACATCCAACATAGCATTGAAAGTCTTATTACTCTGAAAATCTTACATCTACAGAGAAGCGTCATTCAATAATACTAGTTCGGTACAAACAATTGTAGTATCATACATCTAAAGTATTTGTTTGCTTTGGCTATTCGTCAGCATTTTGAAAGATTGCTTAGCATCATAAAGTTGTAGACTTCGACTTGATCATATTCTCATTTTAAGCCGTAAAAGATAGACTACATACAGTATATTCCATTTTCTTGTTCAACTTTTTATTCAAAGTTGTAATAAAAATATAATTTTCTCAATAGTTCTTTTATATGTAGCTATTTTCAAGAGTAGTTAATTCAGCAATGAAGTTCATTTTGAAAACTGTACAATAATGTCATATATGTATTATGCTGTAAATAATAGATTTTAAACATGATTCTTTTGTTTATCATATAATGAACTAGAGTCAAATAACTGATTATATATAGTCTTTTAGTTAAGTTCACAATTCAATTTTAAATTAGTCTACCGTTTAACCAATTTAGTGAAACGGATTTTATGATGATGTAAAACAAGTGAGTAATTCTTTTTCTGATATTGTGTAAATAAATATACATGTGTTTATTACTTCAAATACATTCAAAGATAAGAGAAATATTGTCTTTTCTCCTGTATGGTTATGCAATGTTTATTGCTATTTCTATAACTATGCTGAATCACGTAATAAACTTTTTATTCTTGAGGTAATGATGAATAAGTTAAGGTGTAATTAGGATTTAAATAAATATTCTGTTCATTAGGTAGTTTTTTCGATGGATTGTTATTATAATAATTATCATTAGTTTGAAGTGATTCAAAGACTATTTCGTGCAAGGAATTGCGCGGGTATTGGTTTTCAACTGGATATTGATTATAGTCATTTCTGTCGAAATACAATGATTGGTTAGTTGTTATATGATTGAAGCCCATGTTAGCCCATTCATTTTCTGTACATATGATGGTATTGTATTTCTCTGGATAAATAATGGTAAAATACATAGCGGGAGTTTAATATATTAATAATAACAATAGAGCAACTATATCTAATCCACTAACCTACAATTAATTATCAAAATACAGTGATACCTAATGAGAGGATGGGTATTTCAGTGCTTAGGGAAAATAAGTGAGTTAAGTGGCTAACATGTCTTTTTTCAATCAGCAGTTTATTGAAAGGGGAGAATTTAGTCGCTGAAATTCAGTTCATTTATTCGTAAGTTAACTGAATTCGATTCCCAGTTCTGCAGTCTCAGAGAAGCACTTCTGAGGTATCCCATACTAGAACAAAACGGTGATTTAGTGCTCTACAACTTTTTAAAGGTTGTCTAACTTACATCGGTTCTTGATCTCAATGTTTTACTCTTTGTTAAGTCGGAACATTAGTTTGTGCTTCAAAGCCAAATGTTATTCTACACTATTAAAACAACTGGTCGAAAGATTTGTTTTCCATACTTTTTTATTAGTTTTTCGTAATTAGTACCATCTTCATATCTCACTAGAATTTTCACGAACTGGCATAAGCTAGTTTGTCCAAATTTGAAGGTGTTTGGCTGAAAACCTTTAGGTCCCTCAGAGAGTACGATAACCTTTAGTAAGTATGATAATCAAGTAAATGGTGAATACTGCATGATGTAATCAGCAGAGATTTATCTACTCATCTATCCCTTGTTAATTTCATACGATACATAAAATGAGTAAGGCCTCTGAACATATAAGTACTTTATGAAACATTCATCAATCTCAACGGATTCATTTTCAAATGATGAAACACTAGCGTACTGAGTCGGCGTGTCAAAAAATTAAAAGCCACTAAACAATCTGTGATTATTTATCATTGCTTCCTGCAACAAGAACTCTCTGGTTCAGGAAAATTATGCTACTGAAAATCCTTTGTCTAGGTTGAAGTTCTTGTTTCTGAAACTCAAATAACTTCTTATAAGTAGAAGTTTATTTCTTATTGTTATCGATGTCGTTAAAAACCTTGTGGTTGGTTAGTTTCAAAGTGCTATGAATTTTTACCGTTAGATAAGCCATTTACAAATTTCGAAAAAATAGTACACTGATTGATCGCCATCAAATTTTGTTGTAATTTTTCACAACCATTCAATCGAGTGTCTTAATTAGCGAGTAGTCAATCACAAGTGCTAAAGTTATGCCTCCGTACTAGTCCTTTTAATTTCATGAGAAAAAGTCTATACCTACTTTACTGTTGGAATTATGTCAATACTAATTGTTTCTACAACACAGTAACCATATCCAGGCTCCTTTTCTTTGAATACACTCTGGCAAAGTGAAGTTTTTAGCCTGTGACTAAATTTTTGTAAACCGAAGGTTTAAGCCATCAGGTCACTTTTGCTTTTGTCAACCAAATACTTTCAATAATTATTGTCTTTCAAATCCTTAGTGTTATCGTCCATGAAGAAGACACGCTTTTTAGGAGAGAACGGTTTTTGTTTCCAACTTGAATCTAGTAATAACCCTATTGCTAACTCACAGATCTATTGAATAAACGACTTGATGTCAACGCTGACTGAATCCTAATTTGTTTATGGTCATCGGATACTGACAGTTACAGTAGTTCTGATTTGCCTCACAACACTGATTTAGTCAAAACGCTATCGACATTAAACGGGCAACAAAACTATTGAATGAACGAGGGTGAGTTTTTTAGTTTATAACCAGGCATTTTCTCAATTTTGTTCATTATTCAGGGAAACGTCAATATGATATACGGACGGCTTCATCCGGGGTTTAGTTCTCATGATTGAAAGTTGGAGACTCGTTAAAACCTGGTTAGCGATTAAAAGTTGTGTCATTCTTACTCGGTAATTTTCAACCACACTAACTTAAACCCATTACCCGTCTCGAGGGCATAGGGCACCGGCCTAGTGTTTCCAGCCAACTGTGTTCAGAGCTCTCGTTTGCACTTTATGCCTAGTGCTATTCATGATCTTGATCTGTGAGTCAAGTTCGCGGTACTATTTGTTCTTTGGTCCTCGTCTTTTCCTTTCGTCTAATAGTTTACACAGTATGCGTTCCATTCAGTTTGTGTTCTTTTCTAAACTCCTCAACCGGCATCTGATTTGTTCTATCTCCAAGTAGGTTGATAATAGTGGTCTATGGCTAATGGATCTGGTGTGTCTTACACAGGCAGCTGTGCCCTGGTACGGCTGAGGGTGGGAAGAGTCAGTTCTCCCTCACAAAATGCCCTCACATGGCTACACGTATACAGTCACTGTCTGAGAAGTCCTACTCTCTGTTTTCTCGTGGCAGGGGTGCTGTTTACGAAATAAAGAGGACGAAAAGCGGATGTCCGGCACACGGAGGGTCCACCTAGGAGAGTTGGAAAACCCTGATTCCAAACAGTGGTGTTCATGGGCTCCAGGATCCTGAGGTAAAAAGGGCGTATGAGCCAATCGCCGGTCACCGGCTACTATGGGACTGCGCCTCCTGACATTGCTCCACTGCCTTGTGAATCAGACTTTTAGTTCGAAGGCTCTGAGTGTGGCCCCCTAAAGAAACTATCTGCTTCGGTCTGGGTAGCCGGACAGTATCACGGCCCAAGCACAAGTCAAGTGAGTTGTGTGACGCGTATGTATTCGGTGCCCCTTTGTACCAATACTTATGTGTTCAAATAAATATAAATAAACAGCTGTTCGCAAATACGTGAACACTTTTAGCAATGGTGGTAACAGTTTCTTAAATTTCAACTTACAATATCACCGTTTTCACGTTTGTGTAGAGGATTCTTACTTTACTCATAAGTGACAGTTGTTTTGAACTACAGATATTCTTCAATTGTAGGAATGCTGCCTTAGCTTTGCCGATTCATGCCTTCAGAACTGTATCAGATCCTGCTTGTTTATCAGTGATGCTGCCCATGTTCGAAAAGGCTTTCACTTATTTCATGTCTGCTCCAATAAGTAGGATTTAGTCGTTGAGGCCTACTTTTAAAGCAGCCGTCTCTACCCTGGTTGTTTTCATCTGCATTTGTTGCTGTGTGTTTGACAACAAGGGCTAATTCATCCACAAAGTCCAGATCAAGCAGCTATGTTCAAGGTTTTCACTGCATTCCGTGCTTTTTTTGACATATGAAGATCACAATCCAGTTGGCAGAGAGACAAAATGCAAAAGTAGGCAGATTTTTCTGATACGAATTCCCACTTAGAATGTATCTTTTCAGTGTCCTAGCTTACTACGAATTTGTTCTGCTGTTGTTCGCTGCTTTCTTGTTATTTTTCCTTCCTTGAGTCTTGTTCAAGATGTCTGCAGGGACCTGTCACTTGTGATGGTGCTTCCTGATGTCCAGCACCTGGAATGCTGAAGTTATCACTTCCCACTTGCTTTCTAAGTTGATTTTCTATTCCTTTAGTAAATGTTGTAGGGCTTCTAACTTGTTGCTGAGACATATCTTGAACTTACTAAGCTTGTTTAACTCCTGAAGGGAGGCCATATTAAGCCTTTATAGTACTACATGTTTAATTTTTTAATGCTTGTATAACTTCAATCTCAGCGTGGTCACTACCAGGTGGGGTTGTGAATCTATATCACCTCTCTTTGTACTTACGTCTACGATGAACTTTCGGAAGTTTTTATTGATGTATATATGACCGGTCCGGTTCTCTATATTGTTGTCCGTTTAAGCTCACTTAGCCCTTGTGTATAAATTTGTAAGGGAAAATGATTAGGTCTTTAATTGTATTGTTACAAGTGTACAGATTTGCAGGTCTCTCACCATTCTCGTTTTTCTCGGTCCATATCTCTCCATAATGCGTTCATACTTTATATTGTTCGTCTCGACTTTGGGGTTCAGGTCTTCATCAGGATGATAAGGTCCTTCCTTAGGTATTGCTTTAGGATGAACTGTGAACTCACATAAAACAGAACTTTATCGTTCCCACTGCTATTGTGGTGTGTGCTACTTATATTGATATAAGTAGTATATGACGCGAGTTAAAAACGTAATGTCTGGCAGCAGAAGATGGGGGAAGATCAAGAAAGGAAGAGTGGGAACACAATGCAATTTGTAGGAAAACGCATGAACAATGAAATGTGAGACAATAGATTGATGATTGCATCGGGAACGGTACGGTTTAATATGATGGATTAATATTTTGCAAATTAACGATTCACTATACGGTTTTTCTATTTTATCAAGTAGCTGTAATTTTTTGCTGCATACGTTCCGTTGTCCCCACCTTTGTTCTGTTCACTACAGCGCATAGCACTGAGTGACATCCGGTGTAATCACGTCCTTCGTCGTTTTGAAGGATGCTTTGGTCATTCTGAATCCATGAGATCTCCATTTTGCAAGTGGTTTTCGTGCTCCTTTGTGTAGCATCTGCGGAACTCCTCGTGTATGCAAGGCGATTTCCTCTTCAAGATCAAATTACAACGGCACTTCTTCCGAATCTAGTCCTTTCTGTCCAGCTTATGTCCAATTGGCTTCACTTATCTCGAGCAACGATAGGTTGTATCTTTCAATTTACAAAGCTACTTGAGTGATCCGCTTGATCTCTAACATTGTGAGGACATTTCATGT